GTCCAAAGTTGGACATAAACTGAGTGCCGCGGTCGCATACGATGTCTTTGGGGAAACCCTTGGACCATACCCAACCGACAAAGAATACCTCGATCAATTTCGGTGCCTTGGTGTGATAGGGGCAAGGCAAGAATATCGCGAACTTAATGAGCCGGTCAACCACCGTAAGAATATCGTCGAAGCCCCTCTTGTGTTTTGGGAAAGGCCCGGTAATATCCATGGCAATCGACGTGCGACGTTGCGTAGGGACCGGTAACCTTGCGGAGCTTGCATCGGCAACAAACCTCACAAGAGTCGCCATAGCGAGTGACGTCCGAGATGAGGTCGGGCCATCGGAAGCGTTGATGAAGGCGGCCTATGGTGCAGTTGATGCCGAAGTGTCCCGTGCTCGGAGTGTCATGGAACTCACCGAGAAGGCGTGTGTGGAGCCCGCGATCGTTAAGCACACAAAGTGGATCCTTCCCTCGCGAATGTAAGATAAGGTAGCCGTCTTGGACCCGTTACTGCAAAGGTGCAGGATCTGAAGACGAACATTGCGCGTAGTGCTCATGGAACTCGAGGTCAGACTTGTAGCCGCGAATGAACTGGTCCCTCGTTGATGTCGAACGAGTGGTAGATCGCAAGGCATAGATCTAGGCGCCGTGAGAGAGTGTCCACAAACCGGTTCGACTTCCCTTGGATGTGGTAAAATGAGGAAGTCAAACTGGTCGATGTAGCCCATCCATCGAGCGATGTGGCTATTCACCGTGTCTTGCGACTTGTAGAAGACCAACGGGTTGTTGTTCGTTACCCACTTGAATTGGTGTCGGCCGAGGAGAAAGTGGTGCCACCTTTTGAGTGTGTGGACGAAGGCAAGTTACTCCTTTCCAACATCCTCAATGGAGTGAATGGCTGGCACTTTCTTATGAAAATACTCGACTAGGTGCAAATCCCCGCCATCATATTGCTCGAGGACGGCGCCAAGGTTGTAACCCGACGCATCCGTAGTGATGCACGTAGGCAAGGAGGGGTCATAGATGTGCAAGACCAGCATGGATAGCAAAGTGGCTTTGAGGGCTGTGAACGTTGCTCGTGCATTGTCATCAAAGTAGAAGGGTCGGTCCCTGTATTTAAGCTTGCCATTTGTCGTCACCACGGACGCGAGTCAGTATGGTATAGGTGCCGTGTTGCAGCAAGACGACGACAATGGCTACAGACCTGTAAAGTTGATGTCAGCGAGGATGCCCTCAGAGAAGGTCGCTACCTCGACATACGAGAGAAACTCTACGCTCTCAGCCAGGCCTTACAGCACTGGAAGCATTACCTGCTTGGGAGGTACTTCAAAGTGTATTCAGACCACGAGACTCTCAGGTGGCTCTAGACACAGGCCAAAATGACACCTAAGTTGACTAGGTCGGCCGCTGAGATAGACCAGTATGACTTTGAGCTCAAGCGTGTCAAAGGCAAGTACACTGTAGTTGCGGATGCTCTAAGTAGGAGATCAGACTACTTTGGAGCCATAGTTCAGTATCTGGATATAGGGAATGACCTGCAAGAGAGAGTAAGACAGGCGTATGCACAGGACCCTATTTATAGTGACCTCCTCCAGAGAGTCAAGGAGGCCCCAGAGACCGAACCAGATCACCGCACTACGGAGGGGTTGTTATTTGAGAAGACTAATCTAATAGACCGTTTGTGCGTTCCCAACAACGAGGAAATCCGTAGTCTGATCCTAGGGGAATGCCATGATACAGAGGGACACTTCGGTTGGCAAAGGACTTTAGCCAATCTGATATGTGCATATGCTTGGCCAGGAATGAAGAACGACTGCATAGAGTACGTCCGCAGTTGCAAAGTTGGCCAAAGAAATAAGACCACTACGCGTGCCCCTCTAGGTCTTCTCAGACCCTTGCCTATTCCTGATCAGCCAGGCGATTTGGTGTCCATTGACTTTATGGACGCTGGCGTCAAGAGTAGGCATGGTAAGAGCCAAGTCATGGTCATAGTTGATAGATTCAGTAAGTATGCTGTTTTTGTTCCATTACCCGCAGAAGCTCGTACTGAGATAGTCATTCATAAGTTTTTTTATTTTTGGGTTAGTGAGCATGGAATCCCATTGTCTATCGTTAGTGATAGAGATACCCGTTTTACGAGTCAGAACTCGCAGGAACTGATGAAAGTTTATGGGTCAAAGTTGCTGATGTCATCTGGCCATCATCCAGAGACTAGCGATCAGACTGAACAGATGAACAAGATCCTGCAACAAGTTCTGCGCATGTACATTAGACCAGATCAAGTCAATTTGGATGAGATGTTGCCCAAGGTAGCCAGTGCGTATAACAACAGCGTGCACTTGTCCACTTGTCACACTCCCAACGAATTACACAAGTCCTTTAGACTGCGCAGACCGTTTGAGGGACTTAACCAGGACCAGATTCACAGGCTACCGCCCGGTACCAGGAGTTTGTGATACAACACGAGAAAGAGCTAGCTACAGTCGTCGAGAACCTCAGGAAGGCCCAGCATAGAATGATAGACCAAGCCAACAAGCACCGTCGCCCATCACAGTTCCAAGTAGGCGACTTAGTCTGGGTCAAGTCCCGAGAGTTTGCTCCTGAGGAGAACATCTCGTTACTGCCAGCATATAGGGGACCGTGGCCAGTTCTAGAAGTCAAGGGCGGAGAGGATGGGCCGTCCTACACCGTAGAGATCCCAGCACACCTCCACACCTACCCCGTATTTCATGCGTCAAAACTGTTGCCGTGTGTCACAAGCCAACAGTTTCCTTCAAGAAGATCCATGATCCCTCCAGATATGGATGGGAGATATGACATTGAGGGCATTGTAGGTGAGGATGTATTCAGGACAGGAGGTAGAGGTTGTCCACAGAAACAGTACAAGGTTCGATTCGCATATCAGGAACCGGAAGATGACCGCTGGTTTACAAGAACTGAACTTCTAGAAACAGCTTCCGACGTAGTCAGGGCCTATGAGAGAGATAAGAAAGGCAAAGGTCCGGCCTTGAACTGAGATATTCTCGGAGGACCTTGAATTTAGGCCGGCCGGAGTGAAACGGATTCCACCTTTGCAGTAGCCGATGCAGATCCCAGGGCTCGATCCCTAGTCCTTACCCTACCTGTGTACAGTATCTGTGTCGACCCCGGGAGTTGAACCCACGACCTGTGTCTTTCCCCACAGTTGGTAGGTTGTCGTAGGTCTGTAGGTTATAGGGGTTCGATCTGTAGACCTGTCGGATAGGAGTCCTAGTCAGTTCTAGAAGTCGTAGCTGTAGCTCCTCCAAAGGGTCAATGCCGTAGCTGCTACAGTCCTGAAAGGTCTAGGTCGTAGCTGCTACAGTACCGAAAGGCCAAGTCCACGGTCTTCCGGAAGGTCCGGAAGTGGCCTTTCGGGTACTGCCCACAGTAGACCGAGGCAAGTGGGCAAGTGGCGAAGTCCACCAGTGCTGAGTCAGCAGTACCCAGTCCCAGTCAGTCTCAGTCCAGTCAAGCAAGTACCGTGTGGGACTGTGTGAAAGGGGCAGACCAACGAGCTACAGAAGTATAAATCAAGAGGCAGCGCCCAGCCATTTTCATTCCTGCGTAAGCCATGCGGAAGCGCTGCTACAGCGACTTGTGCAAGGTGGTCTGCAGTATGCCCGAAGACGAAGTGGGCGAGAAGGAGAGCTTAGCCATAGCGATAGGGGTAGCAGCGGCCATAGCCTCCATAGCTGATAGAAGAGTGTAGCGTGTGTGTGTATGCGTGTGTGTACAGTGTGACGCGTGTGGGATATCCAGGGTGATCCTAAGTTGAGGGTGAGGGAACAGAAGAGCGGGGCGCAGTGGCGAACAGGGAATTGCACAGGCGCTGATGCGCCATAGCCATCTGAAGCGAACTTGTATCTGAACTGTGTTCTTGGTTTCCATATCGCTGAGTTTTGAGTGGGCGCTTGTCGCCAGATTGCTGCACTACCTGTTTACATGCATGTTGGAGTGCGGAAGAAAGCGAGTCTGATTGCAATACAGTGGTGGTGGTTATTTTGTATTCTCACCTGACTCTCACTTGCTGGGTTATTCGGTTTGCCTAACCTTTCATGAATGTTGGGTTATCATGGTACTGGCGTATTTTGCATACCAAAATGGTCCATGGTGACGGAATGCCATATTCGGAGTATGGTGGTACTGTAGATTGAAGCGGTTTGACCACATGAAAGGTGGTACACAAAATGGTGTTCAACCCTGGCTTCAGATGTAAAAGCTGACTCTTTCTCATTGTGAGGGAAACATGGTTTCTTCTGATGCCTTCCAGCCATCTGTATGTCAAGGGTACTGCTGTTCAATAGCAATGTTTTGCTGGGTTGCCTGTCTACTATAAAGTTATTTGCAGGTTATGGTGGAGTTTCCCTTGCCCCTAGTATTCGTACTGAATAAAGGCTTTTTTTTTTTTTTTTTTTTTTTTTTTCACCGGACAATGCTTTGGTCTATTCATGGGGAGGACCACGTGCTGCGAACTGGGCACAGTGTCCCTTGTGGGAATATACAGAACATTTGAGCTACCGGGCCAGTACCCGGCTCCAGCTAAGGTTAACATGGATCGTCACAAACAATTGCAGGCCTCACCTCACCACTCCTGAAATGTGCCAACTGGAGCATGCATCTGCTGCAAAAACATGGAAAGATACACCTGCCATGGGTTTTGTCTCTTGCGCATTCCGTGACTGATGTGGCGATTTTCTAAGTGGCATCTGTGTTCAACAGTGAAAGATACACCCGCCATGGGTTTTGTCTTTTTTGCAATGCGGCATAATTCCATCCTGCTTTTGACCTTTGTGGAGACTACTTATGGATTCTCAAGATTCAACAACAGTGTTTCAGGCATTGGCAAACTTCTGAATTTCCTCCCCCTATCCATGACCTTCTGTCTTTCTCTTGACGTCTGGATTATTTGTCTCTGGACGGTCAGCATGGTTTTAAAGTTTAAACTTTTGGTGGCTGCATGCATTTTCTGATAATTTGACCACACAGGTTCTGCTGACAGAGCGGTGCCTCTCACGAGTATATGACATTGCAGACAATGAAGAGCAGGACGATGATGAGCTCCTGAATTCTATGTTGAGAACTTCACGAATACTCCACCTTTCAGAGGTCAGGCATGAGTTCTATATCTTAGTGGTGATTTCCCACATCCCGTGTGCTTAAAAGTTGTGATGGTGACTGTTGTTGACCTACTGCAAGCAGGAGAGGTTAGTTAAGAACTTCTTTATATGCAATATTTTTTGTGAATGCTGTTTCGAGGAGGGACATAAAATTTGATATTGTTTAATAATGTTATACATTTTTGCCCAAAAAATTGCCGCGTCTAGCTGGCCGTGGGCAAGGGCAGGTTTCTGCAGATCAATGTTGGGCAAAAGCTTAAGAACTTCTTTATATGCAATATTTTTGTAAATGCTGTTTCGAGGAGGGACAGAAAATTGGATATTGTTTAATAATGTTATACATTTTTGCCCAGAAAATTGCCATGTCTAGCTGGCCAGGGGCAAGGGCAGGTTTCTGCAGATCAATGCCTGTGTTGGCAAAAGTTTAGTCCGGAGATTTGTTGGAACCTTGTCAAAGTGAAGGGCAAAGTACGATTGAAGTTCACGATATAGTTGATTTTATTGACCCTCTCCCAGCATATGCAGCGTGAAGGGATGATTATTTGATGTCGGCATTAAATCACCCCTCCAACCTTCCTTTCAATTTAGATGACGTTATCCCCTATAGAATTGGGAGAAAAGAATATCACATCCACACAGCGCACAAGCTCCGCCCTTGGTGTTTTCGCTGCAAAGTGTAGGGCCACCTAAGTTCAGACCCCTCATGTGCTCAGAGTCCACTCCGTAGACAGAGAGTGACAGGGAGATTGACTTGAGACCCTTTTAAGACCAATCTTTGGAGGACGGTAGACCCGCGACATTCAGGTTGGGTCTATGTAGAGGGCTCCAACAAGGGTGGAGGTCTCGGAGGTTGGACTTGGGAAAGGCAAGGGGAATCGAACTGGAATCCAGGCCTCCAGATAGCTGGACTCCTCCGGAGACAACGATCAAGGCACCAGTTACAGTTCCCCTCCAGCCTCCACCAGGGACAGAGGCTATAACTCAAACCCCCCAACAAGGGAAACAGTCAATGGGTAGGCCTAAGAAAAGTCTTCTGCTGGAGCCAAACCCCCAAGATTATATGCAGGATACTATACTTCCCCTTGTACCGGGCGGTTCCCCAGGGGAACGGGTTTCTGTACCAGAAGGTAGTGGCCAGAACCAAAATGATAACTACTTGACAGCCTCTCATCAACATCTGGATCTAAGGCAACAAATACAGCAGACGAATCAGGATCTGGATGAGGAACAGGAACAACTTCTGGAAAAGGAAGAACCGCTAATAAGGGAAAAAAGAAAGAAACAAAAAACAAGGAAAAAAAAAGAATTATAATTAAGGGAAGGACATCCCAGCAACAGGATACTCCAAGGGGGGGTGGTTTCTGCCGATGAGGGACATGAGGGAGGCCCTGCAGATTTCAATCAAGGAAAAGTGGTGCCTACGGCAGACGCTGTGCAATCTACGAAAGACTGTGGAAATGGACCCTGAACAACAACAAGAAATTTTGCAGGATCCATTTAGGGACGCATTTGGGCCGGCCCCTATGAAGGTGGATTCCCAACAGGTTCCCACTGATGTCCCCATGACAGATGCTTCCGCCCCCCCCCCAATGCAAGGGAGGATCATGCCTATATCCCTTTGGAGCAAAAAGTATCCCAGCTCACTGACTGGATAGTCCAACAATTGAAACTGAAATTTGGAGCAGCCATGCCATGGTTGAGTTTTGGGACACTCCATAAGTACAATTATTTACTATGCTGAATAATAGTCCGAGTTTGGAGACAGTTCTGCAGCAGGGGCTTCCGTCCGGGGCACACTGGCCTGCGGTGAGCCAGAGGATGCTTCAAACTGTTTTAACAATGTTCCCCCCCCCCCGTCCCTCCCCCCCCCACATCACAAGATGCATCTGCCTGCACAAGGGTGAAGGAAATTGGGTCTGAAATACTACCAGCAGTATCAATGCCGCATCTAGCAAGGGGGGATGCAATCAGCTCTCTGAGCCAGTTTGTGTTCCAGATGTTTCTTTGGCCTTGACCTTACAAAGCACACAAGTGAATCAACAGGTGTCAGATGATGGGGGAAAATCTTCCTCTCTTGAAGAACTTGGGATAAAATTGGAAACTAAGGATTTGATTCAAGCAGAAATTTATGTAAGTGGCACAAGGCGAGACTTTCCCTACCAGACGACGACGAGCAACGGCGTGCAGCACAGTTTAAGTTCACCAAGACTTGGCTGGTTGAAGGAAAAGTTGCTGAGATAAAGAACTCTTATCTACGATGGAAGGAATGGCACAACTCATGAGGGGATAGGAGAGGACCAAGATACTTCACGACAGATAAAGAGGAATAGGGAGGGAAGAGATATATGGGTAAGGTTTGAAGCTAGAAGAGTGGCACAACTCTGTCAAGTCTGTAGGCCAGATGGTTAATCAGGTACACGAAGATCCGTCTCCAATCTGGGCCTAGATGAACATCCGAGACATACKTATGATAGACGACAGCAGATTTTTCACAGGGAATAGATGGAGAAATAGATTAAGGCGGCCCAGATTTTAAGGGCAGGGTACAAGCAGAAACAGGATAAACACGGAGCAGAAGGATAGAGATTAAAAAAGAGGTCCAGGGTGCAAAGGTTCAAAGGATGTAGATAGGGTTTGGGTTTCAAGTGTGACCTTTTAGAAGAACGAGCAGGAGAGCAACAGTGGCAGCACTGAAAAGGAGCCTTCATAGTTAGGAAAAGGTACACAAGACTAACTAGGTTTTAGGGT